CGAGGTAGTGCTCTACCCCAATCAGAACTGCCCACTTGTCCGGTTGCTGGTGAGGAGGCGACGTGGTCATCGCTGAAGTGGGCTTGCTTCTTGGTGCCAATGACCATACCAACTGAGCATACCATCGAGACCTGCGCACCCCCACTCCTCTTTATGTGCAGTGAGGCTCTGCACTGACGCGGAATGGCGGCTAAGTGCGTCGCCCAAAAGAGCCGAGTATCTGATCCATCTCGTTCGACTGCGACCCTTCCGCACGCAGCGACAGCATATAGATGGTACCTCCAATGAGCAAAGGAAAGTACCAGGGACCTCCCGCGATTTGGTCTTCTTTCTCGTACCTCTGCCAGTCATGTCACTGCCGAGACAGGGGGAAGGCTGGAGCATCTGGATACATTCACAATAGGCGCATGTGGCCTTTTCTTCGCGACTTGGTGCTGCAGTGTGCTGAGCGACTGCAGCCTCAAGCAGCAGGGCTGTCATTCGTTGGACCTCTCGGGGGAGCTGAGCTTTCGGTATGGAGGCCTCTAAGCGCGTCGTGGCTCGACGCGAGACTTGCGGCTTTCATGGCGTCGTGAGTCTACCAGTAAACGGCGGCCACATGCCCTAGCCTAGTGTATTCGTTGTTAATCCCTGCAAGCTTGCTCGAATAAGGCATGTGTTGCCTCCGTGGAATGTGCCCGTTTAGCTGCTGAGCCACGCAGCGGTCGTAGAATGAGCTGAAAATCCCGCACACGGCATGGTGGTGCGTATTGTCTATCCGGCGATAGCGTTTCGGCGGCATGTTGGGGCGGACCACAAGGGTCGCGGCTGAAAGACATGAGAGTGGCTGTGGCATGCGGGAGGTGGGGCCGAATTCCCTCCCCGCTTTCGGATGGCTGACCAGGAAACGAGGGAGTTGTTTGTTGTTGTTGTGGGAAAGGAAGAGGCAACCAAAGCCGGCGTGGCCACGACAGAATAAAAGACCCCGCCGGCAGGCCGTTCCTTCCTTCCGTGGCCGCCGGGCCGCACGGACCCACCGGCCAGGCAACCACCAAAATCTTACCAACGCTCCTGCCGACCTTCCTGCCACCCCGGGGACGAGGCTGTTCCAACACAAGGCTCCCAAGTTACCCATTTCGAATGATAAGGCCACCTGTCCCCAATTCACAACTCCGTCCTGCGGAGCCGCTTATTAAGAACGCTGCCGAGATGTCAGCGCCCTAAGGGGGGATAGTGTAAGGAGGCTCGCCGTGCCTCGGCGAGCCGCCTTATGGGCGCCGGGCCCAGCCACCGGCATGAAGCCTAGCCACGGGAGGCACGCCACGTGGAGGCCTGAGGCATTCAAGTTACGTGACCCAGGACCGCGACCGTGTCCATAACGTTGAGGACGGGGAAGCCAGTGCCGAGAAGTCGGGCGATGACAACAATGCCAGCGAGGCCGCCCTAGGAGATGTGGACGGCATTTACCTTGTCGAAGACCGATCCCAGTCGCACACCTGTAGACGCTGAGGTACAGTGACCCCATCTCGCAATCTCTTGTTCGCTCATTTTACCGCTTGTTCCGGAGAACCCATGCACCAAGTCGACGAGTCCCCGGGTCCTCGGCAGTACGCCGAGTACGACATCCTCCAAGAGAGCACAAAGGTTAATGCGGAGACAGTCGCGCTCGGAGGCTACTCGTATGCCAAG